TAGTTCACAAACTCATAGTGCCAGTGGCAGGCATTTAGTTCACAAACTCATAGCAGATATTGCATCAAAAGCCAAATAAGGGCCTCTCTCAAAAGTATTTCTGAGATAACAAAAGTTAGACTTTGAGACCACAGAGTGCCCTGAAACCAAGTTGAGAGGGCGAGAGAAGCAACACCAGCTTCTTCAAACACAACTGTAGATTAGGTGTCCTGTGTGGACTGACAGAAATGCAACGCTGCCAAATGTATGACACTGCCAAACCTAATTTGCTTTATGAATAATAAAAGCATTAACCACTAAAAGATTTACCTTTCATTGATTGAGGCTCAATGCATTTACCATGGGAAAACATTTCAGAGCACAGCTAATACTACAGCTTAGCCATTATTTTTGAATGGCTTTGTAAGGCAAGCTCTAGTCTCATTTAGTCTGCTCTACAAACTCATGCCTTCCAGCCTCCTATTTCATTTTGAAAATGAAAAGATGTGCAAAAATAATGAAAAGAGAATTACCATGAGAGCTCAGCCCCCTCTGCTGGCCTATGATCATAATACAGGAACAGTGTTGTCCAAGAAGATCTGTTTAGGTAGGCTACATCTCATGGAGCTGTTTTGGAGCAGTGCTAAGAGTTTGCAAACACATTTTCCTCTGAATTACAATGACATGCTTTCCTACAGCAAGCTATTTAAATCCTGCTGGGCTCCCAGTCATGTTGCTTAAAAATCCCTGTAGCATACCTAAGCAATGGCCAAGCCTTCTCTCTTTTGCCTGTAAGGCCAGTCTTTTGCATCAACCACCTTTAGGCAAATTCAGTATGTGCTTACATTCTCTTTAGCACCCACCACACTGGGATTTTTGAAGAGCCTGAAGAAGTCAGATTGTCCAAGGTTTCAAACATGCATTTATAGACCCCCTAGCTCTCAAAATCTCAACTATGCCAACCTCGATGTGTGCAGATATAGGGGAAAAAAAGAACATTTGTACTCCTAAAAACAAATACCTTCACTTGTGGGTAAATATAGAAAACCTCCACAAAGCTTCAGCATGAAGTGCACTTATTACCACTCATTCACAGGCAAACATTTTCAAACCTAGGTTCCTAAATCCATACTAAGGAACCCATAAAAAAAATGAAAGACTGGTTTTTCGAATGGTGACAAGCACCAACAGCTACGGTTAATGTTAATATTATAGCTGCACCAGCAATTCTCAACCAGGGTGCCTCAAGATCCTTTGAAGAGCGATGTGAGGTGTGAGGAAAAGTGAAGTTTGAGGATATAAGATGATAAATGCAGACTCAGGCCTTTCTCTGCCTGGCCAAGCCCCTTCTCCCACTGCCCAGCCTCTCTGTAAGGAGGTAAGCACTGCAATATATGTTAGCTTTGGAAATTAAGTGCCACTCAGTTCACAAAAGTTATGAAGGGGTCAAGTCCAATGGGGGCTGCCATGAGTCCAAACACGTTGAGAACCACTGGTTTAAACAAATTCCAGCACTGAGGAAAAAGAGCACATTATAACATACCCAGAAGGAAAAGCATCTTGGACATTCGGATGATATTAGGAGCTCATCTTCTCCTAGTACTTAACTTTTCTGTGACCACATTTGAAAATAAACTTGATTTTGTTATCTTCCAGCACTACCAGTAAATATATCTGGTTTTAAGATACCATTTGAAGGGAATGGCTTAAAGAAAAATCCTTAGGAAAAGTCATTGCAATAGACCTTAAAGTGTGGTTGCATGTGTGGCGGTGGGGAAGAGAAATCTCTCATGGAATCTGTTATTCACATAGAAGTTGGCTACTTCCTGACACTTCCAAAACATCCTGCTCTTGTTTTAGTGCCAGAAATATGTTAGTGAAACTAGGATCTGCTTCAAACCTCATCCTATTCTAGCTCCTTTCTTGCTCAAATTTCGAACGCTGGTGTTTTGACATCCTTATAAGTTACTGTATCTAAAATTAGAACCTCATCTTAGAAATGGTTCACATGACCCCCCCATTGACCCAAATTGGAATTTCACTCAAAAAGCGTGCTTTTAAGTAAAGTGGGTAAATCTAGTTCTGAGTCTTATTTTAGATGAATTAACCCCATTAGCCACTTGGTGTCTCACTTGTTCCATGAGAAATTCAGTGAAAACCCTCACCCAGTATACTTCTTTTTTCCTCATATGTACATGAGCCAACACTCTCCTATGTACAAAAAAACAAAGTCACATTAGGACCTTTGTACTAACGCCAGCCGGTTATTCCAAATTGTTTAGACAAACTGCTTTCCGTCCATATGTAAAGTAAAATCTTACCCAAAGAATCTTGTCTGCCTATCTGCCTAGTTAACTGACCCTATTTTCACACATTTTGTGAGAGAGGCATTTGAAACTTCATTAGTAAACACTGCTGACCAGAATACCAGAAGACTCAGAGAAAGGTGTAGATATGATAAACATCAGTCCATGGGTTCTCCATGTCATTTGCTTCCAATCACATACATGATTCATCCCCTTCAGTATTACACAATCCATGTTTAGAATGGAAGTTCCTCTGAGCTGTTTCCATGTAGCATGGCATATGTGAAGCACCCAGCACAATATTGATAAATGCATTTATATTGAATCAAACCACAGGTCTGGAGGCTTCTCTTCAAGGATCATAGAAAATTAGGGTTGGAAGGGACTGCAGGAGGTCATCTAGTCAACCCACTGCTCAAAGCAGGACCATCCTGAACTAGATCACCCCAGCCAAAGCTTTGTCAAGCTGGGTCTTAAAAACTTCTGAGGATGGAGATACCACCACCTCTCTGGGTAACCTGCTGCAGTGCTTTTCTACCCTCCTAGTGAGAGAGTTTTTTCTAAGATCTAACTTAGGCTTCCCTTGCTGCAACTTGAGCTGCCGCCAGAGAGAACAGTCCAGCTCCAGCTCCAGCGTCTTTGTAACCAGCCTGCAGGTATTTGAAGGCTGCTATTAAATCCCCGTCTTTTCCACACTAAATAAGCCCAGTTTCCCCAGCCTCTCCTCTGACTGACAGGTCAGATGCAAACTCCGAAGGTGGATTCTCTCCCTACAGTGGTTGTAATCAATACTGAGAATGAAACCACCAGACTTTAGGGATGCATTCTTAGAGGCTGTGGACCATCTCTTTATAAAATATTTTATAATTTGTGTATATTAATAAAAGCGAATGGTACAATCTGAACTGAAAAATTTCCAGCATAGTGCAAACAAAGTGAATGTAGCTTAAAAACAGGTTGCTTTTCACAGGCATCTTAACTATACTTTACTGATGAACATCTGTGCTAACTTGTATATTTTAGGCAGTAGGGCTTAGAGGAACAAGTGCATGGATAAAGACCTAGCAATATGGTATCTTCACAGATCTCCGCTAAAAATAGATTCATGCATAGATTGAGGCTAAAAGGGAGCAATATGATCATCTGTTTTCACCTCCTGCATAACATGGACCAAAGAACCTCAGAGAAGCTGAACATCAGCCATAGCTCACAAAGGCAGCTATTAAAAAAAGAATCCTATCCAAATGGCACATAACATAACTAAGTTGATAAAACTCATGGGATCATTTCTCTCCTTCCATTCATCATAACTAAATACAAAGCGTGTAAAGACCTCCAAAGCAGAACCACACTTTTCTCTCAGTACACTTTCCTTATGATTAATCAGACATTTATAGATCCACCTAATGGCTGTTACAATTACCTAATGATAATTATGTACATCTGTAATTGGCTGAATAACCATGAGCAAAGAGTATCTATTAATGGGTCAATGTCATTCCGTCAGGAAGTCTCAAGTCAGTTTCTAGCAAGTCTGGGGTTGCTTAAACATTTTTAAATGGCTCAAATCAAATTTGCAAGATGGCAGGGTATACAACTGTTGTGGAGGATAGAATTAAAATTCTAAAGGATCTTGATAATTTTGAGAACAGGGTTATGGACAACAAAAATGAAAAAGTCAACAAAGACAAATGTAAGGTGCTACAGCTAGGGAAGTAAAAACCAAAGCTAAATTACAGAATGGGGAGGGGGGTAACTCTTTGCAACAGCACTGCTGAAAAGGATTTGGGGGGGCAGTGGTGACTGTAGGCCACATACTTGCCAAGAGCCAGCCATATGATGCTGTTGAAAGAAAAGCAAGTGCAATTTTGGGTTTCATTAAGAGAAGCACTGTACTCAAGATAATGGAGATAACATACCACTTCATTCGGCCCTCATCAGGGCTCAGCTGCAGTTTTAGACACCATATTTTAAGATGGATATAGGGAAACTGGAGTGGATCTAGGGCAATGAAGGAGGAGATGGAGTTGGAATGCAAGCCATACTGGTTGAAGGCAGTAGTTGTTTAGATATTATGGAGGAAGTGGGGCATGACAGTGGCTTTCAAGTCTCTGAAAGGCTGCTATAAAGAAGATGGAGATAAGTTGTTCTCCCCTGCCACAGAATGTAAGACAACAGACAATAAGCTTAAACTACAACAAAGCAGATTTAAATTAAATCTTAAGGAAAAAAATCCTAACTGTACAAACATAAGACATGGGAATGGACTGTTCAGGGAAGCTGCGGACTCTCCATCACTGGAGGTTTTCAAGAAGAGGCTGGGTGGACATCTGTATGGAATGGGTTAGTGAACCCTGTATCTGTGCAAGGGGTTGGACTAGTTGAACCCTGAGGTCCCTCTTAATGCTATGAGTCTATACTGTACAGTGCTAAACACACTAGTAAAGGCAATAAGAAAAAAAAAAGATGCTCTGGTTTGGCCAGAAGTATTCTCTTAAGGCTAATACTAAGAAATTAGGAAGTGAGTATGCAATGCGTGCAATAGTTTCCTTATGTCTAGTATTTTTTTTTTTTTGCTAGAAGTAACAACTAAGGAACACAAGAACAGCAGATCAACACATCAGTAACTTCAGTATTATCATCTCTGGCTGTCTAAAATGACATCTTAACATAGAAGTTAACCAGGCTCCCCAAGTTGATTGCTGGAGTACTCACCAACGTGTGACATGGGGACGGTGTAACTGCCGCGGTTTGGGGCATTGTAGATCACAGCAGCTTCAGCACCCCTTCTGGTTGCCAATTTGATCTTTTCTGCAAAAGTGCAATTGCCTCTTTCGATCAGTGCTATCCACGGTGTTTCTGTGACGGTGAACTCTGTGTTGTAATCGCAGGCTTGAAGATTAGCAGATTTAGGAATGCCCACCAGTCCCTGAGCACTAGTCAGAGGAGAGTTTAATCCATACAGGCCACATTCACATTCGTCAGTCACAGTGCTGTTGTTCGTAGGGTTGAAGTAGAACAGATTCACATAGGCATTCGCTGGAACAGTCTCCACAACTTTAAATAAAATAGTAATAAAAATCAGGAAACGGGAAGGGCTGCACTTCTTCTGCTTCATTGCTTATTCATTTAAGCATAAAATGTAAGATTGTTTGTAGATATTTTCAAATACCGATGGCCATTATGAGTCCTCCGGCTCCCTTGGTCGTTTGAAATTTCAGTCCCAGGTCGGTAACTGACACCACCCACGGCTATGAAGTCCTCAGTGCATCAGCTCTATTACACCTGGCTCATATGGGGAAGGGGGAGATAACACACCTGCTTTTAGTTACATAAACCACAGACTCCCGAGCACTTGGAAGAGTGTATGTAACCTTTGGTCCCGTGCTTCTGCTGCTCCTTAAGGTCCACCCTCTCTTGTCATTTCCATGCAGATTCTAGCTGTGACTGCAGTCCAACAGCAACTCAGTAGGCTCCTATTTCCTCTGAAATATCTTTTACAAAAGGTCAGAAGATTTTCTTTCCTTCAAGGTATCTCACATCAAAATAAGCAGGCTTGTTAAAAAGAGATATAGAAAATAGAGCAAGAGAAAATTCAGTTTAAAAAGACATATCCTGCTTAGTTTTTCTAGCCGTGTGCCCTGGAAGAATTAAGCAAAGTATGTGCTCTTCTTGGAAGTCCTCCCTCCTCTTGAGTCATTCTGTTTGAGATCCAGGGCGTGTCTATATTGAACCTGCACAGGTACAACTACGTAGATATGGTTGCACAAACTGGGGCACGCCTCTGATGTAGAAGGCTGAAGTTTTTAAAAACAACCCACACCATTAGACTTTGCTTGCATCACATGTTCCCATTTCCCCTTTCAAATGTATTTGAAGTGTCTGGTTTATCAGCATACCAGACTCTACTAAACTATGGAGTGTATAAGATTAGTCCTTCAATTCATTTGGGGGTGTGGCTTGTCTTAGCTCCTGTTTTCTACTTCCCAACACAGGAGGATTCTCACCAATTCTGCTTTCCAAAAAACTCCTTTCAACTCCTTTTGAATATTGTCTGTATAATGGAGGATACATGTAGCCGCCCGCTCCCCTTGAAGCCCACACACAAAATATCAGTTGTAACTGCATTGATACATACACTGGAAAGCATGTTGAGGTATGATGTATATATTTTTCCACAAAGGGACTGTCTCAATAGGACTCAACTGGATGTAGAAACAGGTTAACAATGTTGTTTTTTTTGTTTTTTTTAGAGTGGTCAAAGTTAGAAAAAGGAGGTGATGAAGATACAGAGAAACTGAACTTGTTGCAAATAAAGAAGAAAGAAACAAAATAAGAATTTGACTTCTCAGTTTATTCTGGAAAAAAATACCTGGTGTGTATGCTTGGGACAGCTGCAATACTGGAGGTTTTAGATCATTGGGGACAAGCTGGACCTAAATTCTCTGGTAAAGTGAATTGCTGTGGTGGACATTTTTGAAACACTGCAGTAATTTCAGTAGTTTAAATGCAGTAGCTGCATTTAAAAAAACAGATTGCCACATTCAATTACCTACAAAAATTAATAGTAATAATACAGGTGATGGTTTATTTGATAATTAATTCATTTTATTTTCACTGTCCTCATTTTTGAGTTCTAATATGCCAGACACATTTTAATCTTTAGGTTTGAGAATTAACAGTCCATATTAAGATGAAGTTGGGCACTCTGCACAGAGGTTTCCTTAGCACTGGTCTGTATTCAGTTCATATTACCTTGGTTTTCTGCAACTATGAAAATTAGAAACATTTATAAAAGTAAAATAAAAGTTAGAGTTAGGGACACAGGCAGGGAATACACAAAGCTCCAATGATATTTAAACTCAGCAGTATCTTTATTTCAGCAGTGAAAAAAAGATTCCTTCAATATGCATAGGTTCTACAAAGCCCTGTGTGATCCTGGGGTATGAGAGATATGACAAAGCATTATGATTTTAAAGGAGTTTCATGATGGATATGACTTTAGTTTCTTAATATTAGCAACACTGAATGAAATAAATAGTGAAACAAAAAGGAACCTTTGCAAAACAGCTTTTTGCTAACCTATAGTACACTATCTTTTTATTTTGTCCTGAGCCTTTTTGAATAGCATAATACTTTAAGAGCCATGCAGCACTTTCCTAGGCTATACTGCATCAAAGGGGAGTTATGAGAACTACGCATACCATAGCAACTCTGTACAAAGGTCTGGTGTATCGTTTCTATTGCAAAAAATCATGATTACCTTACAAATTGGATCTAGAAGTTTTCCTTAAAAATAGACTTCTATCTGAATAGCAGCTAGTTAAAAAAAATCTGCTGGCATAGTCAGCATGGCTCAGTTTGGAGGCTAGTCTCTTTCTTAACCCTAGAGCCTACATTATATCTTGTACTTAAAATATAAAATGCAAAACAGAAAGAAAAAAAATACATGGTCTACCCAAATAACAACTTTTACTCACAAACAACACTGTTAGCAGATTTTTTAAAAATTGTAACACATACCTGTAGCAGGGATGATGCTTTAAGTACACTGACAACATTTTCAAACTTAGACCTGGTGCCCCAGGTATGTAGCTATCCATCATAATATATTAAGTGCACATCTAGTTACCGGATTATAATACACTAAATGCAGAGAAGTAATGCCGTGTTTATTTTAAGTAATTTATATTAGACAGCAGAACTGAAACCACTGAAGATCGAGGTTGTCTACCCACAGAAAAGTTGTCGGCAGCAGGGCCAGTTTCTCCCCACCAGCTAGCCAACCTCTCTCTCAAATCTATTTTCCACAGAATAAAGCATAATTCTGTTTCTCACCAAAAGTAGCTTCTTGGGCTCTACCAAACCAAAACAACAAGCAATGGGGCAATTCACATGGTCAGTTTGTGTGACAGCAACTTCTTCTCCTGGAGTTAAACTGAGAACATTTCACATGAGCAAGCCCACAAGCTGCCACACAGCAACGACGGTAGGGTCCAATGAGCTATGGACGATCACTTCAGTGCTTTAAATCCAATTCTTCTGCTGCATATGTGCAAACCAGTCCCATCGAACGCCAACAGAATGTGTTTCAATATTCCATTACTCAGCCAGTCTGTTTGCTTAATTATTGAATGTATATATATAAAAAAATAAATCTGTCAGTTGGGTGCCAACAGACGTTGATTCATCCAATGCAATATATACAAAAGCAACAGCAACCAACCATGTTTGTAACACTTTCTAATGCTTTCAGACACAAAGGACCAAGCCTTCCTTTGTAATAGTTTGACTGTCATTACACATGTTCTGTCATAAGACATCATAATACTTTAAATGCTTAACTTTGACAAATATCAAAATAATTTATTTTTTAAATTACACAGGGGTCACCACACCAGGCTCCGTTATCTTATAGATTTTGCTCAGAAAGACTTCTACTTTATCTTCACCCAAATGACAGATGTCCAAGATACAGATGACATGCTGTTTGTCTAGGTCAGCTGCTGCTTTTACAATTTCATCTAGAAGCCAAACAGATGATATATTGTAAAACAAATTCTTAACTGACATTTTGTTTACAAGCAATGAGCCGTGCATCTTCCCTTTCTTTTAGTGAAAAGGATAACTTGGCCTGTTATGTGCTAATCTATCAAAAAATATATGAATATATAAGTTCAACTACTACACAGGTAAATACTTCATTATCTCATATAGATGAAGGTAAACTCAAATTTGTACACGCTTTAAGAATAGTGTCAGAAGTCCTTAGTAAATGTAGAAGGTCTTATTCAAGGTGTTTCACATATCAGATACATCTTTGTTTATGCTTAAAATCAAGTGTTTTTATTTATTACTTGTGTTTAACACTTCAGTAGTATTTTACATCTTTGAAGCAAGGTACAGACATTAATTAATGTCCTTTACTGTACTTTTTGTTGGTGGCCAGTACTTGAAACCTTAATTTAAAAGTCAAACAATTACCAAGCATATAAATACTGCAGCCTATACCTGTCAACTGAAAGCCAGCTCCTCAGAGTGATACTAGTGAAAAAAGAACGAATGACTGCTAACTATGCTCTTCCATTTATGGACCAAACTCAGACAAATACTCAAAATTCAGCCTCCCTGACAATGCAATTCTGTAGTAGCAAATAACTGCATGTACAATATAGGTCATTCAGGATTCTTAAGTGCCTCAACATGCCTATGTATTAGGTACTTGGGTATCAACTTGCTCTAGCTTATTTAAGACTGATGACTTGTCAGTGCAAAAAAGGCAAATGAAAGACTGGCCCAAATAATCTGATATGATATCTATACTATTAGTAAAAGAGTTTGCCATAAATGCATGTGTATACTATGGAAAGTGGTGCCTGCCCTACAATTTGATACTTGCCCACAGAGTCAAAACTTGTGGTTAGAGATAAAACAAGAAAATCCACCAGTGAGTAAATCCTACCTGGAAGTGGAGACAAGTCACAAGGTCTTTCATTGCTGGTGGTCTCCTGTTGCTGCACAGAGATGCAATTCATACAGGATAATAATGCATCATTCTGAATATTCTCCATTTGAAATAAATGGGGATATTCAGGACAAAGTAGAGGTAAGAATGCAATATCAATAGCTACATCATGGTTTATACCTGTTAAGAAAGAGAATTACCATAGCAAAATATTTCATCTGCAGTTTGCAAGAGTTTCATGAAATATTTACATCTGAAGAGGATCAAAAATTTGAAGACCAGTTACTCCATCAAAACTAAGCATTCCAATCTGTACAGTTAAGCTGTCAGAAGATTTTTACCCTAGTCCCCTCTTTTCCATTAGGTACCAAACAACTGCAATTCAAAAAGTTTCTGCAGAAACATATGTATACTTATATACACCTGCACATGTATATATATGCATAGGTATGTACACGTATATATGTACGTACTGACAATCTGTTATAAACACGTAACAACCATTAAAGAATTTAAAAATGCTTGTAGCCCAGAGTATATTAAACTAATTTTTAGAAGTTTCCACCTCAGAGCTTGCAATGGAGCTAATGTTGCTTGGTAGCCTCACGTGTCTGGATTTCTTTTAAGTTTAATCTTAATTAAATTTCCTAGGTTTAGAATGCTTGCAATGATCCCAAAACTTTTTAAAAGTTACTCAAATAAACCTTCAGCCTGAAACTCAGCGTAACAGGTTTTGGCAAGCAATTTCCCTATCTTTTTCATTTAAAAATTTCTATTTGATGACTGCTAAATAATAAACACAAATATATTAATGTCACATAGTAGTTTTCATGAGTTGAAATATTCATCAACTTTAAGGTCATTTATATATGTGCTCTGGGAGGCCAGGGGAGGGGGAAGAAGGCTTGAATGAGCTTTAGAGCACCCCCACTGCCACTTTTCACTGGGGAGATGCTGATGCACCTGACGCTGGAGTCTCCTGGAGTGCGGTAATTACCACGTTCCAGCAGACTCAATAAATCGAGTCTGCTCCAACGCGCTGTAATTACAGCATGTTGGAGCAGCCTCAATGCATGTGGATAGGTGCCCTTATTGATGTGTTTAATTTTAAGGACTGAGGATAAATTCATTAGTACATTTTATTGCTTTGAGCTACTCAGAAGGAACATAAAGCAGGTGAAAGGTCTGGATGAATATGACCTTTATTTTATCATAATGCAGCCATGGTACTTTAAGAGCCGTGACTATTGGAACCAATCCAGTAACAGATGAGGTTAAAGGAGTACTCATGACATATCCAGTTCCCCTTACACCACTTGCTCATTTCAATCAATAGCTCTCATGCATGCAAATTAGCTGAAGAGGATGTGTGATTGAGTAAATTGCTGTCAATATCAGAATAGCCCCAATTAAGAGTGACCTAACCTAATGAACAGAGCCTGTCCATAATTTTAGCACTTAATAGCTTAATTGCAACCCACATTCTTCAAATGTATATCCACAAAATTTGCTACAAGTGTTAACTGTATGGAAAGTAGAGCTAGTAAAATATTTTCAGATTTGCAATGTCAGTTAACAGAGGGATGACATTTTCAACAATTCTTGTACTGGCTTTCAAAGAAATACTACATACAGTCCAAGGAATCTGTTTTCTTTTATTTTAAAATATATTTTGGACAAAGAAACATTTGACAGGTGCTAGATTTTAGATACATGATTTTAAAAGAGGCCCCTTCTCTCAAATTACAAATACCTTCTCAGAATTTGAAGAGCTGTAGCTTTGAAAATGTTAAATGCAAAAATCTCAACTCAACTTTAACCTTGGAGTTTGGCTTAGCACTTCAATAATATTTTTTTTAAATATCCAAAGTTCGTATCTGTAATAAAACTGCTTATAAAAAAACCCTTCAATTTTCTTTTCTAATGCCCGAATAAGCACTGGAAAAACTGGCGTAGTCCATTCAAGTTAAAAAAAAAAAAAAAATGAAACAGCATTCTTTGTTAAACTATGAGAATCCTACAAAACCATACCTCATTAAGATTTCAATGCTTTCCAAACAGGGGATCTACTAGTTGTCACTTACCCAGTATTGTCACTTCATAATGGCCAGTGCTGCTAAAATCATGGCTTTCCATATTTGTTTTGTATTCTTTTGGTTTATGCTTTGCTGGATGAAGGTTGCATTGCTGCATAAGGAAATCTTTGTGTGTATAATCAAATTTATGCGGGATGCTTTCTGGGAATACAGTGCTGTGATGTAAGCGTTCTGTTAATTTGTCTTTCACCCGCGTCCACAGATCACTTTGCCAAGAATCACAAGTCCTTCCCATCTCTTCTATTTCAGGTGTGTCATTCCTTCCTTCCTTGTCTATTATAAATATATCAAACATTTAGTTGGTCCATATGCACTGACAAACCATACCGCTTCAACAATGCAAACGAAAATATAGGGTTGCTGAAAAGATTAATACATAGTCAAAAATGAAACTACACAGTGGAATAATTCAAACAAAGAGTACAAAAGGAATTTGCACTGCGATTTAAATAAATAGGGTTTTCCCCCAGTCAAGTTTGAAGGTTAGGCACAGTTCAAACAGTTATACTGGATGGAAGCTGACAGTCATTACTTCTTTTGGGAAAGCAAAAAACTCATCTCATATTCAGCCAACTTGTTCCAGCAACACTTAAGAACTGTAAAAATTGGCCTAAGTATGTAAAAATTAAACAGATACTTTAAGAAGCTCAGCTCTGCCATCTTTTGGGCAATATGTGTATTCTGCATCAAGGCTCTTGGTTTTTAGCTTCTAAAGCATATCTGAGTAGGATTCTTCACTGTACAGCCAACAAAAGACTGAGTCCCTTTTCCCATTATATTTAACATGTGGATTCTGAACTGGAAAAACCTCAAACCAAACATCAGTCCTAATTCTGTAGGCTAGTCCTGTATCCTACTCTGAGCTTACCACAAGGTCCATTTTGAATGTCTCCCAACTATCATTTTCTTTTGTTTTATCTCATGTTGCCTGCATCCACCTCCCTCCCCCCTTGCCAGTAAACAGTACTCCCAGCCCAGTTCTTTATCAGTCCCAGTGTTTTCTTTGCAATCCAATCACATGAATCAGGTATACAAATTTCTAAATTACCTCATGTGCAACACTACAGCAATTATTACAATGAGCTGTATGTAGGCCAAAGAAGTGGGGATACCGGAATGTATATGGCTAAACTGGAATCAGCAACACTAAAGTGGAAGAGTATTAAAGAAGAGAATACAAGAGTATTACTGCCTGGGGTAAGAGGGGCAAGGAAAGGATGGTAAATTTTAAGGAAGAAAGCTAGAAATCTTAAGAGGGTGGTGCAAAAGTCAGGACCCACAGGCATTATAACATATTTATTCAAGTACATGTTCAAACTGACTACCATTAACTTCAATTCATTTCTCAGCGCTCTTTTGAAATGATGCTAGCTAGGCCTCATGCCAAACAAGGTGCAGGATGTTTTTTTATACAACTGTAACACAGAGTTTGCAAGCACCACTTTTTCCCAGATACAAACGTACACTTGATTTTCTGCATGGAAAAAATTAAGGTTGTAAGGCATTAAATAGGTAAAGATCACTATTAAATTCATCAAAACCAGTTGAAAATAGTAATACTTTAAAAAAAACAACAACTTAATGCTGGAAACCTAGCTGTGAACTGTTTAACAGTCCCTTTCAGGCTTTTAAATTTACAAAAAGGATGTTAAAATATCACTGGACCAATGTACGTCCCTGGGCACACCATAACATGGCTGACTCAGAACTCCATTTGGATGCACCACCTACATCAGTGGTTCAGTATACTGCATGTTAGAAATATGCTGCTGACATTTTAAATTTTGAGCAACTAAATGCTCACATCTGGTTAGAAAGATAGCTGGCTGAAAAGCAATTCTGTTGGGATAGTCTGTATAATTACATTAAGAGAAGAAAGAAAAATACAGTACCCGCCATCTTCTGTAATAAGAGTGAAGATTTCATTTACAAAATTTTATGGCATTAAAACTTGCTAGGGTATAAACTGGGTTTAAAAAGCTCTTCCCATTCTAAACTTCATTCATTCCTTCTCTTTACTTCTATCTCAGTATCATGGGGCTGTAATTCGCATGTCCTATGTGTACACACACATTTAAATGAACAGAAACTCATGTGAAATTAGGGCAGGACAGTAAAAGCAACAGCTACTGGCTATTTGAATAATAAGAAGCTGAAATCCATGTCTCAAAGACCCACAGCACCAAAAAACAACTGCAGCAATAATAAAACTTAAAAACTATCAACCAAAGCAAAGCAAGCATTTGAAGCCTTGCTGTCCTAGGTGAGTCTGTTGCATAGGTATTTTTCCAGTCTGTACCATCAAATGGCATTGTGAATATGACTGTACAATCTTCCACTAAAAGCAACTAAAATAAACTATGTTTTGGATTTATTTAGTGCATGGAAAGCCTTTTTAAAAACTTCAGTATAATTATTTATAGTATGGAGCAGATGTTATATTCTTGAGTAAGGTTTAACAGTTAATTTGATCCTCAGCCTTCATGCTCAAAATACCTGTCCTAATACCATTTTGTTAGATAATTCATTTTGGTTTCACAGTTTTGTTCCAAGTCAGAGCCATTCAAATGGCAGCCCAGGGGCTGCATGCGTCCCACGAGGGGTTAATCTGTAGCCCCTGGGCGCTCATGAGGCTGCTGTTCCTTCTGTAGCTCTAGATGCTGCTGCAGCCAGGGTCTTTGGGCTTCCCTTCCCTTCTCTGGCTTCTGCTTCCTGCTCTCACCCTCAGAGGTGGTGTCATGGGACACAGCGCACAGAGCTGGGGAAAACCCAGCATGGCACAGCAGGGTGGCCCATGACCAGTATGCTGAGGATGGGGCCACCCATTCTGCCCAGTGTAACAGTTGAGGTCAGGGGGGAAGGTTGCTTATGCATGCTGTGGAGTGTGTGTGGGTGGGGGGGGGCACCTGCTCAGCAGCAGCTCCAGTGGGCTCAGGGCTCACACCATTGAGGGCTCTGCTAATGCAGCCCACATGGGATGTAGTCCCCAGTCACTCGGAAGTTGGGCAGTCCTGTTTCAAGTTACCTTTAAACCTGCGCAGAATGTCAGCATCTTTCACTGGTCCATTCCTTCTAAAAAGTATAATCACTAGAGTAAGACAGACACTCATCTTTCAACCTATTGCCATTTTTTTTTCAAAAAGATTAAAAACTACCCACATTTAAAAAAAATAACCCAACTTTTTGTTCAGCATAAATTATTTAGTTTCAGACCACTGTGTTCAATTCTATAGTTTCTATATGATTTTATCCAGACTGGGGCAAAGGTTGCAACACTGCTCTGATGACATGATCTCTGGGTTGGCTCTCTACATTTATTAAATGACACAGCTCTATCCCATTCCACCCCATCCAATAACCTTGGCGAAGCAGAAAAGCCATCTAAGGTCTTACTAATGACAGGGGGTATGATTCAAATGGAAACAAAAGGAAGAGAAACTGCTTGTAAAGCAATGACAGGCACTGCTACTAAGGATGTTGACACTGAATGGGAAACAGCCCACAATTGTTGCTGGTCAGTGGTTTTCACAGATGCAACACCCCAGTGTTTAAGGCAGAACAGTCACCTTTTAGGTGGCTGAAGTACTGTGGCTATGACACAAAGCCTGGGAGTCCAGCTGTCCAGCTTGCCTTGCAATGGGTGAGTTAGGGTGGGGTGTAGGGGGAAGAAGTGCTTGCATCCACACTCTAGGGGTGTTCCAGAGTGTGGGTGACCTGGGGCTGGGGCACTTCCACTTTTGTGCTTTCCTTTCTCTCCTAAACATGAGGTCAATAAAGCTGCCTGTTCTGGATCAAACGTCAGTATGTGCACCTGATTTGTGGGGACTCAGGAGGGCAAAAGGAAAGGAATGTTCAAACCTATATTTTTAGATTCCTAGGGGTTAGGGGTCATGATGAGGGGTGCAATTAAATAGGGAGTGAGGACACAGTTGGATGTCAAAGACAGTTTTTACTGAACAAGTAGCAGGGGGCCTTGGGCTCGGGCCCATGGATAAAAACTGCCAACAACAGGAAAAAAGGAGGTGGGGAATGGGGCAGTAGAGTTCTGGCCATATACCAGAGCAGCCAGTTGCAACAGCAGAGAGGGTGAAGAGCATTGCAGTGTAGGACCACAGCTACATCACAAAACGCATGGTGTCCACGTGTAATATGTACTCCGTTTACACTGCACCGATTCAAAAGAGTACCTGATTTTCCAGGTACACTATTAAACCATTCCAGACAACTTTAAACCAGTTTAATGGGCTTGGTATGTCTCTCCGTTTTAAACTGTGTGTTTTAAACGGGTCTAAGTGTTGTGTGTGTCCATACCCTAAGTAACTTTAAAGAACAAATGCCTTCCCTAAAGTGGCTTTTGATGGCCACTAGTGCAGGTATTCACTATGTAACAGCTCCATTTTCTTTGGAACGTGGTAATGGCATCATAAGACTCTCAGACTCAAGTGCACTTGTATGTTGGGTGCAATATGACAAATCAGTATGGAAATTGCAAGTGCATGTTATTTAAATAGACTAACATCCACACAAAAAAGAGGAAGAAAAATAAAAACCTGCTGTGTGTTCTTTGAAAGACTGGATATACAATATCCATTCCATTCTTTTTTCAACTTGTGGGACTAAAGCTTTGCAAGAAATCATTTTTATTGTTTTGGATAAAAATACATAAAATAGGAGGAAAAATAGGAGAAATTTGGCATGTTTCAAACCTTCATAGTGGATATTTTCATACATCAAACTGGTTAAATACTAATTAGGTTCTGGGGACTTAAACCAATCCCTTCCTAGCAGTGTTCCAAATGAATGTAATGCTAATGTTTCTATTAGAATTCTGACCCAATAAAAAAATACCTATAAACAACTACCTATGTAGTACTGGTAGCTCCATACCAGAGAAGATTAATGTGCTTCAATTATTTCATGTAAAAAGCAGAATTTGTTTTTCTTTAAACTGGAATTAGCCTTCATGTAACTATTATAATTATGTTACAAACAAATTTGTGGTATCATGCTAAAAGCCCCTGCTCTGCAGCGCTGTTAGTGCCATGTGAAACCACTTCTGGAAGGAGAGAAAGATCGAGAGATTAACGTGCACACAGTGCACTCAGAACAGTAGTTGATTTAACCCACTTGCATAACATCTGTTACAGAGCTGATGAAAGAAATTCTATTAAGACTGTATTCTAAAGGAAGTCAGAATTTTTTTTTAACACAAGAGCACGCTGTACCTTCCCCTTTCTCTGATGTCAATACAGTCTAAACCACACGATTATAATACTCCAATTTAAGACAGAAAGTAAACCAGATTCTGTGAGATTCCTTTACAGTACTGATAATGTCATGTCAATATAGTATCATGGTAGGATTGGTGTGCTATTGTAGCTGTGAAGGTCTAAGAGATGTATGAGGCGAAGATTTTTTGTGATGTTGTTATAGACCCAACTAACTAACTATATTATCATGAGGGGTTTTTTTTCATATCTAATGTTTTGAATACAACAAAATATTGAAATTATGTAATTATTTTCTTCACTGTATGTGCATCTACAAGATATCCTGAACAATTCTGAAAAGGTTAGCTGCGCCAAAATCTTAACATCTATGACTACCCAAGCTTCTGGCTAAAAAAGTTAAGAGACAATGCTGAGAAAAGTACATCTCTCAAGTTTAAAAGAGAATAGAAAGGGATTGAATAAAATATTTTAGGATTTTTCAAGCTTCCTTAAGAGCTAAGTTTCTTCAGTATGTGAGAAGAGATCTTAATGCAATAGAAGATGCCATTCTTATTTTATACTAAACAGAATTTTACTTTGTCAGTTTACAGGTTTTTGTTTTATATTAGTTTGTAAGAGTTTGATTGGCATTTAGAATTTTAATCTACTAAAAGCTCTTGGAAAAGTGCAGAGATGTAACCTAAAATCAGTAAGGCAATAATCAATACACTATAATAACAGCATATGAACAATATATATACAGTACATTAAGAGAAATGAAGAGCAAAATGCAAAGAGAGACATCTGACTTATGAAGGAGAAACAAAATTAAGCCTCCAAGATAGACATCAGAATTGAACAGATTATAGATGAAATTCTGCCACTCAGTCAGAGAAATAGCCAAAAGAATAAAAGCCAAAATATTCGAGTGAATTAGAAGTTGGGCAAAGCAACATGTAGTGACAGTCAACTGAGGAATTCAATCTATCCTTCTAGCCCAGTAATAGCTTTAATTTAAGAAAAATATTCAGGGTTTACTTTTCAAACATGGAGGAAGAAAATCTGGGCTATTTAATTTAAAACCAAAACCCAAACCAAAGAAAACTATCCCCATACTGATGACTCACTGATATGTTACATCCTGGTCCACCCACTCTGTGTGCCTTTGACTTTTAAAGACTGCTGTTCTGTAGGGCCAAGGAGAATACTAGTATATTTGGGTCAACAGAGCAGCAAGATTAAGAAACAGGCCTCATCTACACAAGAAACCGACTACATAGTCATTACCATGCAGTCATTTAGGTCATTTCGCACTAGTATAAACAAATGCTAAGTGACTTGCATATGATATGGTACTAAAATGGATCAAAGTTTAATAAAATATTTAGAGACATACCAGTACAGGACTCTGAAGCATCCGGCACAGCCAGTCTAATGTTTTCATGCATAGAATCTTCTTGGTGAAATTCATCCAAGCTGTAAAAATAAAATGATAGTAAAACCTGAGGTTTGCAGGATTCAGCTAAAATTAGTAAGTTCTTTTTGTTACCATGTTATAAATTACTCAAATTCCAATAATTACCAGAGTTCAGACCTTGAAAAGGTCCTTATGATAAGCTGGATCAACTCACACAAAGACGAGTTATTGATCACCTTCTTATCATAAACTATTGAATTTATTTAAATCATATTTGAGAAAAGTAACACTATTTTGCTAAGAACAACTTTGTCAAAGCTCACAAGACAGGAAGCATCTGTGAAAATTTGCCCTCTACTGGTCACTTGTGGAAGTGGCATGTGTGACATGGTCAACAGAGATGACTTGAGCAGGGTGCGGGGCCCAGGACAAATCAGCCTGTGCAGGGCACTGCCCCTGGACACAAGGAAGCCAGCAGCAGATTCGGCAGCAGGGTGCCAAGCAGCCAGACATGAAGCCGGCAGCAGCATGGAGTTACCGCAGCTGCTTCGCCCAGCTCCACGGGGCCCCCCCAAAGCATGGGACCCAGGGCGGTCGCCCTCATTCACCCCCTGGTAGGGATGGCCCCGATGGTCAAGCACTGCGCAGAGCCAAACGTCACAGACTTTAAATAGGTTTCTATACTAGTTCTAAAAAGGCTCCAGAGTGTGCTGTTGTACTGTGATATTATCACACTTCAGCAACAGAAGACACAAAGCAGTAATGAATTCATGGTGCTAGACCATCATCCAAAACCTAAAATGGCAAAGAAAAGGTTTCAAATGATTTTACATATTATCCTGCTGCAACAGTTGAGTGAAATGCACTGGATTTCATTATATTTTAATTTTCAGTAAAATGAACTAGTTCTCCAGCAACCAACATTTTACTCCCTTTGGTCAGTTATCCCCTCTTACCCCTGCAAAATTCCGAGGGAACTAAAATGATACATACAGGGTGTGTCTACACAAAATGCTAATGTTGCAGCACAGTAATTCTACTGCACATTAGCACAGCTGGCAAAAACCCTGCTAATACACTAATATACAGTAGAATTACTGTACTGTGCATCAGCGTCACATAAAAAGTGTTCATCTACGCTAATGTGCAGTAGCACCAATTATGGCACACTGTTACCACCTGTCATTAGGTGTGCACTGTTAGAGATTTTGGGGGCTGATATCGATAGCCGATTTTTAAGGAGCCATATTGGCCAGTACCAGTCCGATTTCCAATATGCACCCTCGTGGCTTGAAGAGCAGTGTCCGGCTAGTAAGTCTGTTGTGGTGAAAGGGGAGGAGGAAGGGAAGGGGCATGGGGGGAGGCAGATCCAGGCCCCTGCAATGAAGGAGAAAGTGGGGTTAGGGCAAGGGCAAGGGCTGCCCTGCTGGGGCGTGGTGTGGCAGTTGCAGGACAGAGCCACGGCTTGTCTGGTGGGTGTGAGCGGGGCGGGGGCAATTTCCACTGATGCACACACCCCGGGGAGGGCATAGAGGGTATGTGCCCCCAGAGCTGCATGGGGCAGGGAAGGCTGCTGCTGTGGGCTTGGGCCAGACTGCACTCAGCACAGGGCAGGCAGCAGTGGCACTGGGAGGAGGCCTAGGGGGGCTCAAAATTCCCCATAGCCCCCACTCCCTCCTCCCAGTGCCTGCCCCTCCCCGAGTGCAGCCTGGCCCAGCCCCCACCAGGAAGAGGTCTGCACAACCCCAACCACAGCCTGCAGCAGTAACCCACCCTGCCATGTGCAGATCTGGGGGGCACGTCCCCCATGCCCTCCCAGGGTGCGCACAGTGGCAGAAGCCCGCCCCCCCTCCACATCCCCTGGACAAGCAGTGGCTCTGTCCTGTGCCCACCCCACCTGGGCAGTGCCTGCTCCAGCCCCACACCCTCTCTCGCTGCAAAGGCCTTGATTTGCATCCCCATGCCCCTTCCCTCCCCCCTTCCCTTCCACCACAACAGACTTAGCACCTGCGTACAATTCTCCCAGCCAGGCTGTGCTGCTCACCATTTATGCGCTGTGCTGCAGGTGCACGCATGCACATGGCATTTATCAGCCATGTCAGGCAAGTTTCCAATACAGTCAATTTTCTTTATATCGGTGCCGACCCAATATTGGACCGATGTATCGGTGCACCTCTACCTGTCGTTGCAGGTACTAAACTTGATGCTCCGTAGTTATGGTGTATTAATAAATGTGTAGATGCACCCCCTATAACCCAGCCACTAGAGACATTTATTCCTTTCTCCCTTGCTTTAGCTCTCCATATTTGTCATTTAGCCAAACAATCCATATTAATAACTCCTATAAAAGATAGAAGATTTCCTTTATTGGCTGTGTAAAGGACAAAGCCCACCTCTGGGGCTATAAAGAAGGTTAAATTAAAAAATCCCTACAATTAAAATATAATACCATCACCTTTTGCCGGGCAAGTTTTAAAAGTGGTCTCCAACCTGATTTAATTTTGAGTGCTCTGACTAGGATTCTGATTTAAATGGTGCTAACTGAGCAGCTGGAATTCTAGCCTTTTAATTTTGCAGATAAAAAAACACCATGTGGAGTGTAAAACTGCAATATCCTAATTGGTTTTTTGGTTTCTATTCTTTTTTTGCAGAGAACAACTGAAAGTTTCATTTTTTAAATGAAAATGAAAAACGTTTGCACACAGCCACAGAACTCATGTTCCAAACTGCCCTGAACATTAAAAATGATCCAACTTAAAAAAAAAAAAAATCAGCAAGTAACACAGAAAATATTGCTTGGGGTTGAATGCAGCTCAATGGACCAATAGAGAATCTGACCTTCCAACAGCCAGTTTCACACCCCTTGGTCTAATGTTAAGCCACTATTAACATTGCTTCCGGCCACACTTCTGTAATGAAAAGAAGCTGAGCTAGTTGAATTCTTAACTGCTCACTGTTGTTATCTGAATGCTTTACAATGCAGATGCCTAAATGAATTAAGTCCATATTACTTACCAGCCTTTTTTCCTTGCAGATCTTGTGAAATATGGGCATGAAGACACAGGAACAGCAATGTCCCTTTTCCTTAAAGTTAAGGAGTAAAAATTTTTTTAGTTCTGGTTTAAGAAAAATATGTATAGAGAGAGAGATCTACAAAAATAGCGTAAAGAGAAAAAGGCCCTGAATTTGCTACTAAAACATTAGTAAAAACAAGTTTGGTATTTTTCCAAAAATGTATTTTGCACGTGGCTTTTCATCCAATATCATTTGTATCTTTCCTTCTTTTCTTTTGAAAAGTTCTGAACAGCATCGACTCTAGATACTGGAAAGGAGAAAGATGTCTTTTTCAGCATGAAAAGTCTACTCCAAAATATGGCCCGCTAGAGTTCCATAATATTGACATATCTCAGTATCTAGCAAGATTCTGCAATCCTGACTAGGTATAGGCCTGTTCCAAAGGAAATGTGGCTTTGCCATGACAACCTTAAGAAGGCCCCTCCATGGAATTTTTTGTGAAAAACGTATGTTTTACTCTCACGACTAATAAGAGTGCACAAATTTAAATGAAAGTAGAATGTGACCTCAGTCTTGCACTCTTATATACACGTCTGCATATGCATACTCAACTTGCACAACTGCCAATACATTGCAAGCAAAACAAAAGCACTATGCATTTTCTTCCTCATGAGGTTACCATGTGATCCTCATTCTCTTGTTATTCTGGAAGCAAAACAGAATTACAAGTAGCAGTTCCTATTATGAACATTTTAGCCAGAAAAAAGAGAAAGGAAAATCATCTGTGTCTCTAAAGTAAATAGAGAAGGTTGCGAAAATATTAGTTCTACTTTACATTTTTGGAAAAAGCTGTATTCTTCGCTACTGTAGCAGTATTAACTCTTCAACTAATCATTGTAGAACACACTACTAGAGAGCTAGCTTTCTTAATTTCAAAATTTGCCAGATTCTGATAGCAGAACAGCATCATCACTGGCCAGATGAGAGCACTTCAGTCAGACCGCTATCAACCTGGGTAGTAGCTGTCAAGTACTACAAGGGAGGGTTTGCACCTCCATATCTACTTCTGAAAATCCACCTCAGAGGCTTTAGGCTTCAATTCTGTTTCCACTGATTTCCTGTCAGCAAGACCAGGTCTATTCTGAAGAAGGATCATCCATCTTTCAACCGGGTTGTAGATAGTTACAGTCAACTACCTTCCAATGGGAACTGTCCTACCAACTCATTAGGGGCTTCTTTTTAAAACCCATCCTATATAAAATATAGGGAACTGAAATGAAACAAATATAACTGCAGTTTATGCAAAAGGCTTACTGTTCAACCTCTAGACAATGCATGATCTTTCTCTTGACAGGACTCTTTCTGGTTAACACAGTTGCATGGTGATGCTGTTCAAGGGGAGCACACTGTGAGTTGGGAACTTCTTTGCCTTCACATTTTCTGTCTTTCCCCTTGTTAACAAGATCCTCTTCGGACATCTTAGAATCCTTTACAGTAGTCTTAGATGGTGGCTGGGACAAAAAATAGCAATTAAAGTATAAAATAGCAACCGCTGGCATAAGTGCCAGAGTGTAGGACGCAAAATCATTTTGCTTGGCATGTGTGCCTTGGGAAAAGCCAGGGCTGTTCTGCCACGACAAAGATTGGGCCCCTCTGCAGTCTGCCTCTGGCATGCCAACACCTTACAAGTTAAGGTTGCAGGTATTTTTGACATTGCCTAAAAACATTGCTGCCCCTGAACTAAAGCTATTTTGTCTTCAAATGGAAAAAAAGATAACAAGTGGTTCTTCAGATACTTTTCCCTGCAGTAACTTTTAAAGACACCTAGCTCTCAATCTTTTACCACAACCATACTAGCTATGAGATTTACTTTGCCTGGCTAATCAAGGTTTTTAAAAAACAATTCTGTCTTGAAAGTGGCAGCGTATATTAAAAATAGTTTTCTCGGTCCCCAATTTACTTTAATTAAGCTATTTGATCAATTAATTTAACTTCAGAACACTTACATAAAGCAATTTGATGGAGGACTGTCAGAAAACTCTCACAGGAAACCAGTAAACTTAAGTTGTACAAGTTTTAAACTATGACTTTCAAAATTAAAACTTCTTTGCTCTCAGATTTGTAAATTAAGTTAATCAAAGACAATGTATATGCTTCTGAATGTAAATGCAAAAGATCTCAATTGTAATTATGATCATAACATCTTAAGTGTTATACCCTTAATTATCAAGCACTGTACCTGAACTGGTTCCACTCCTGAGGCATCTTGAGCTGCACTGCTACAGCTGACATATCTTATAACACTAATTATTCCCTGAATAGCGAAGCGCCTGTGCTCCCTGTAGTGCAAGTCTTCAAGCTCCCTCTCCATTTCACTTATGGTTTTCAAGACTGATTCAACTGAAAAAAAGCAATTCCCACAAACTCAACATTTTTAAAGAAATACAGTCCCACCAAAATGTATGAATGCTGGACACATACAAGAACATTGAAAAGATATTTTTGCTAAACTTAAAATGTCAAATTGGTCCACAGTTGAACTTTGGAGGAATTTCCCCTTTCATATCATTTGCAGACTACTTGAAGACCAAACCTTTTTAGTCTGCTCAGAAATAATATCAAGTAAATACATAATTATGGGCAAGTAAGTTTCCATTTAATATGCTATGCTGAATTTTATTTAACATCATTGCACTTTATGTTCTTCAGTATGATGAGTTTTCTGAGTTTGAAGATGGAGTAGAACGGAACACCTACAGAGCAAACTCATACGGACAGATTCACAATCAGTGTGAACCATTAT